TTGAACGACTCAGCGTTCTTCCCACTGTATTTTTGGCCCCCAGGCTCCTAGTGAGATCTGCCAGATAGCTTCCTCCTACAGTGAATGCAGGATGTGGTCTCTGTCCGGTGTTTAAGGAAGAGGGTGGGCCTCACTCCCGCTCTTCCTCCTCAGAGGCGACACCACTGAAGCTCTCAAGAGCCCACGCTGACTGTGTGCTTTCCCTAGCCCCTGCTCATCCAGGATATTGCCAACAGATCTGCTTTCTGTCCAAGCCTGGGGGTCAGGTGCACCTGCTTGTAAAATACCTGGGAGTGCTTGGGAGGCTGATGGGCAATTGTGTTGACTCCTGTGTTTCCTTCTGTGCTGACACGACGTTGGCACTCAATAAATGTTTATTGGGTAAATGATGAATAAAAGAATTAAGAGGCCCAGGCTGGGGGTGTAACTCAGCACTGGAGTATTTTCAGAGCATGGGTGAGGCCCTTGCAAAAAAGCAAGACAAAAACAAGAAACACAGTTCAAGCTTCAAATGGAAAGGCTTGAGGGATTACCGATAGAGGAATAGGGTTCTATTAGGGTGCATTGAGGCAGGGGGATTGAAAATCTAAGGCCTGTCTGGAGTACAGAGCAAGTTCAAGGCCAGCCTGTGCAAACTAGAGCCTGTCTCCTTAAAACAGAATTCAGTGGTTTGCTTAGAGCATTTGCTTAGAGCATGAAGCCCAAGGTTCAAGCCCCAGCACTGGGGGGGGGGGGGGGGGTGCCCATGGTGTGGGTGTGGGACAGGTGGGGTCAAGGACAGAAAGTCATATGAAAACATGCCCACAGTATATCAGGCTTTTGAGATTCACAAATTCATTTATAACCGTATGAGGTCAGATGACTTTTTAAAAAAAAAAAATCACATGACTGGCAGTTGGTTCCCCCCCCCCCACTTCAAGGTCATGTGACTGGTAAGAAACAGAGCTGGGAGTTTCCCTAGGCATTCTGATTCGAAACCGAAGCTGTTCTGTAGGACTTTCAGCCTGCTTATAGACAGAAGTGTCCAAGAAATCGTTAGTAGCATGAGGAATGAGAAAACTGAACAGCACTGTGCCCTTAAGAGTAGGGGGTCTTGGAAAGGGAGAGAGAGGATCCTGTGTAGCCATCCTGTGGTTCTCAACCTTCCTAACGATACAACCCTTTACTACAGTTCCTCCTGTTGTGAAGACCATTCACTCCCAACCATAAGATTAGTTTTGCTGTTACTTCATAACTGTAATTTTGCTACTGTTATGAATCGTAATGTAAATTTTTTTGATAGAGATTTGCTCAAGGGGTCTTGACCCACAGGTTGAGAACCCCTCCCTGCCTTAGACCTTTTACTTGAAAGAAAGTTTTTTTTTTTCCTTGTTAAACTTGAACTTCCTTTTCTTTGACTTTGAGGCTCAGAAACAGGACCTATGTCAAAAGTAGGACAAGGTGGGTATGCCTGTGTCCTTCTATTTTGTGATTCCTGAAAAAGCTGACGATACAATTTTTTTTTTTTTTTTTTTTAAAGACATAACAATGTGGAGATGTCACTTCAGGGAGGCTGGAGTGATATAGTTCAGCAGATAAGAGCAGTTGTTGTTTTTTCCAGAGAACACAGGTCCAGTTCCTAGCTCTCCTATGGAGCTTACAATCATCTATAACTCCAATTCCAGGGATCCAATGCCTTCATTTGGCCTCCTCCAGCATCAGGCATGCATACAGTGTGCAGACATACATAATACACTTATACACATATATAATAAAAATCTATTTTTAAAATGTCATTTCAGGCTAGAGAGTTGGCTGAGAAGTTTAGAGAACTGGCTGCTCTTCCAGAGGACCTGGGCTTAATTCCCAGCACCCGCATGGCAGCTCACATTGCCTGTAATTTCAGCTCCAGGAGATTAGACATCCTTTTCCGTACTCCACAGGCACCAGGCATCAGAGTGGGTGCATAGACAGCCATGCAGGCAAAACACACACACACAGAAAATAAATCAAGATAAGTAAAAAATTTAAGATGTCATTTCATTAAACCAGCCATGGCAAAAATGTCACCCTTCCCATCATCATTAATAAAAAAATAAAATAAAATAAAAATAAAAAGCTGGGCAGTGGTGGCCTAAGCTTTTAATTTCCACAGTGGGGAGGCACAGATAGAAGGATCTCTCAGCTTGAGGCCAGCCTGGTCTACAGAGCAACCTCCAGGACAGCCAGGGCTACAGAGAACTCTGCCTCAAACCAGACAATGGTAATTATCCTGATTTTTGACTAAATAAGTACTTGTGTGCATTGATTGACATATATATATATATATATATATATATATATATATGGAATATATTCTTTTTTAAAAGATTTATTTATCCTAACCACTGAACTTTCACTCCATTTTCATAACTTATTTCTCTTTATGTGCATTGGTGTTTTGCCTGTGTGAGTGTCAGATTTTGGAGTTACAGACAGTTTCGAGTTGCCGTGTGGGTACTGAGGATTGAACCCAGGTACTCTGGAACAGCAGTCAGTGTTCCTAACCACTGAGCTATCTCTCCAGCAAACCCCCCCCCTTTTAAAAATTTTTTTTTTTTCCTCTCCAGCCCCCCCCCATTTTTATTTGTCTGTGTGAATGTATGTCACCTGTGTGTGGCTGCCCTCAGAGACCAGAAAGGGACACCCTATCTCTGAAAGCCAAAATTACAGGTAGTTGTGAGCCACCAAACATGGGAACTGAACTTGGGCCCTCCGAAAGAACAGCAAGAGCTCTTAACTGATGAACCATCTCTCCATCCGCAAGAACATTCTATTGAACCAGAGAAGAGCCAGGCATGGTGCCCTCCCCTGGAATCCCACAGTGCAGGGGGCTGAGGCGGGAGGATAGTGAGTCTGAGGCTAACCTAGGCTTGTGCAAGTCAGCTTTAGAGACTTTGTCTCCATCGGTGACATTTCCACCTCCAACGCCCAAAGGCCAAAACAAACAAACAAACAAACAAACAAACAAACACCCTAGAAAACTGAAACAAACCAAAGCAACAACCAGCCAGGACATAGCTGAAGGCTGGGCTACAGAGGTAGAGGGTATGCTTAAGATATATGTGGCCCTGGGTTTGATCCGTATCAAACCCTCAAGCACTTGAGAGCAGAGCTGCTTTCCTCCTACACTGAGGTGAGCCCCCGCCATAGTCTTTGGGATAGCCTGTGGCTAGATTCCTTGAATCTTGTAAGCAGTTTTACCAGTCTGCCTTACACCGTTCTGTCTTCTAGAGAAACAGGACTGTCAAAGCACCCCATCTCCTATCCCCACTCCCCAAGCTGCACATGGGAACACTATACAAGGCAAAACCAGACAGGCTTTTCTTTCCTTTCCCCAACAGACCAGATGGACTCATTGCCAGTGTGCTGTCAGAGAGAACCTGGGCCTGGAGAGGAGTGTAGCTCTGAGTCAGTCTAGCTCTGGGACTCCGCTGGTCACTATCTGTCCCACCTAGCTCACTGTTTATCATGTGGTCAAACAAAGAGAGTGGGAGGAGGAGCCAGGAGGCTCACAATTGTATCTATCCTCACCGGACGTGCTCCCCTTCCTGTGTTCTCCCGCTTGGAAAGGCCTTCCTGTGTTCTCCCGCTTGGAAAGGCAGCCCCACCAGTGTGAAGGAACAAGGCTGTAGCTGCTACCACCATGCCTGTAGCTAGGCCAGGGGCTGCTCTGCACGGGTCTGAGCTGTTTGGAGCAGCTCACTCTGAACCTGAGCATGACTCTGGCGGTATGAGCACTTTTCTCCTAGAACAGGAACAGAGTAGGTCTTCTTAAAAACACTGCCTAAACCAAGCAGGAGGTTAACACAATGATAATCCCAGCTGTGGTTACACAAGAGCCTGACTTAAGCAGGCAAAGGCATTTTTCAGAAACAGCAGTGAGGCTGGAGAGATGACTTAATGGCTAAGACAGCGATGCATTTGCAGGGACCTGAGTTCAGTTCCCAGCACCCCCAGCTCACAACTGCCTGTCACTCCAGCTCCAGGGGATTAGATGCCCTCTTCTAGCACCCACATACTAGTGACATACGTGTCCTACACATACACAGATTAAAAACAAATCTTTATATAACAAGAACTGCCCATTGCCTGCTGGTCTATTTTCTTGAGAAATGTTCAACCCTGTTCTATTCCTGAAAGTTCTACTCCTTTCATGCATTACAGAGGAAGTATGGATTCCAGGAAATGTGCGGTGGGAGGTCATGACCCTAGTTCAAGTTAAGAAGGTAAACAGTCAAACCTAGCATGGTGGCCCAGCACTTGAGAGGCTATGGTACAAGAACTTCGATGAGTTTGAGACCGGCCTGGGATACACACAGCATGTTGACAACCCTCCCCCCCACCCTGCCCAATCTCCTGGGCTGGAGAAGTGGCTCTGAGGTTAAGAGCACTGACTGCTCTTCCAGAGGACCTGGGTTCAGTTCTCAGTAAACTATTAAAACAAACAAAGAACCACCACAATTAAAGACCAGCAGAGCCAGGTGGAACAGTCCCAATAAATTCTAAGTGCAGTTCTGACGACTTGTAATTTTGCCCCCAGCCACTCCCTAGGCTTTCCTGGCAGATACCTCTCCATTTAGTGCACTCTTGGGGAGGTTCTGATAACATTCCCAAGGATTGGGAAAAGGAGACACCAAAGGGTTTGCTTTCAGTGCAGGGCCCAACGTAGAGGTCAACCAGCATCATCCTGAGCTCACTGGAATTACACATCTCAGCTGCCTTCATGGCTCCTTCTGCGGCAGGCTTTGTCACAGCCTGCCTGAACCCAAACGCTGGGCAGTGTTCTGAGCGAAAGTTGTGAGGAAGTTGTAGAAAACGAAGCACCATATCCACCTCCACCTTCCACGGCTTTTCCAAGCCAAAGACAAGACAGGTGCCCATTTTCCCCCCCAACCGCAAAGACTGAATTCGTCAACCCCCCCGCTGTTGCAAACACTTCCTAACTTTATTTTTGAAGAAAAAAAAGGAAAATCTTGACATTGCTTTAAAGAAAGCTTTATTTACCACATACATCTTAAGAATGTACTGTAAATGCAGCGAGATCTAAAAAGCTTTTCAAATACAAAGCTAAAAACTAAACTAGTAGCATGTCTAAAACCCAGACTCTAAAACTTTTAAAAACTTTTATATTAGTTTGTTCTTAACCCTAAAAAAAAAAAAAAAAGTTCACATTTCAAGTTATAAACTTACCTCAGTAGTGTACATGAAATGGTTGTGAAACAAGAAGAGCAGGCAAGACCACAGACGGCAGGACCGCTGACCTTTCCCAGCTGCCACCAACACTTGTTTTTAAGGTAGTTGCCATGTTAAGTTAGTGCATTTTTTCCTTTATTATTATTATTTGATGATGATGATTACCTTTGCAAATATTTTCTAGGCACTTGTAAAATACAGTAAGGACGTGGGGTCAGTGTTTCATCTAAGGACCTCTGGGTCAGTCCTTGGCGGGCAAAGAAGCACTTTTTCTTTCACGCAAGTTCAAGGGACCTGATACAAGTTGCCTTTTATGGGGCCGCTCATCCCAACGTGCCTGTGTGGGTGCGACTTCCTAGGTGGCTCCTCAGACACCACACAGCTGCTTCGTGCCATTCAACAAGGATGGAGAGGAAGGCCTAGAGGCCTTAGCAGGCACGATTTCATAGAACAGTTAAATAATTATAAATATTTCTTATATATAAAAATCCATCCCATCAAGATAAAGAAAAAAAAAAAGACAGTTGGGGATCTCTTAATTTAAAGAAAAGAGGAAAAAAATTAAACAACTATCTAAGAGCATTTGTGAAGGGCATGGTCCTAATATTAATCCTCAAATAAGAGTTACGCCTGAGCTAGGCGAGGTGGCGCATGCCTGTGATGCCAGCGCTCAAGGAGGCAGCGGCAGGCGGATATCTGTGAGTTTGAGGTCAGCCTGGTCTACAAGCCGAGTCCAGGATAGCCAGGGCTACACAGAGAAACCCTGTCTTGAAAAACCAAAGGAGTTAATCCTGATAGCAAAACTCTGGTGGGAAGAAAGATTTTGATGGGCTCTGCTACAACATAAAATACAACTGTGTATCTGTTACCTTGTTGCCCTCCTCACATTCTTGATCGAGCCTTTTAAAAAGATGCAGGTTGACGTAATTCATAAAACAAATGACGATATTAGCCTTTTACTGTATTCTACATTCACTCTGCCAAAGAAAAGCCTTTAAATGGGCACAAAACACTGCATCTGTGTATTTACTGCCAAAAAAAAAAAAAAAAAAAAAAAAAAAAAAAAAAAAAAAAAAAAAAAACCAAAACCAAAACAAAACCCCAGACACTTTTAATAACATCGAAATAAAATGGCTGCATTTCACATTACACTACAGGCAGGCTGTGAACTCTGGCAACACAAAAGGACTACAAGCAAGTGTCAGAAGTTATTTACAAACTCCCCTTGAGCTCCTACAGGTCCCCTCCTGGATGCGTGCACCCCACGTTCACCTATCAAATGCAGAGCCACCCGGGGAAACCCTGATCAACAAACATGGTGCTTCCACACCCCTGATGACAGCAGCCATTTTGCAGGGAACCCAAGAAGGCAGCTAGAAGCTTAACTCCCTGTTGACAAGTCTTGAAGGTCTTCTCCATAATCACATACATTCTTTGTCTCTAAAAACTTGGACTTCAAAAAAAAAAAAAAAAAAAAAATCAAAGCACTAGGAAGGTAAAGTTTCATACTGAACAATTAAATAGCTATGCAAAGATGTGGTTGGCAAACATGTTAAAATCTGGTCCTTATGGGTACTCTGATACCGAAAACACATATAGAAGGCAACACCTCCCCCAACAAACCAAAATAAAACAAAATAAAAAGACCATAACACAATCCCAGGAAGAAGTATAAAAGGCATCAGCTGTCTTCTCTATCAGAATTATCCATTTTTCTGATATGTGCCAAACTTGACTGGAGATAGGGAAAGGGGGGCGGGACATAGTTAACAATAAAGACCAAGGTAATGAGGGCAGGTGAGAGCTGTCCAGTGTTGGGACTCTGGGTGTGATGAGTCTCTTCCATGTTGGCTTAAGAACAGACTGTTAATAAAAAACAAACCAAAGCAAACTGACCCCCCACCCCCAAACCAGAAAACATGAAGATACATGGCAATATCAACCCTTAATGCCAGTGAAAATACAGCAGAGACTCTTGCTCATTTTAAAATTGCACTTTCCAGCATCACCTTGAAAATAAAATAATATTTTATGTAGCACTACAGTTTGTGTCTTTAAATATTGAATATAGTTTTCAAAATAGTTCCCTAGATGCGAGGGTATGCTTTTTTTTGATATATATATTTATATATATATAGCTGATATATTTTTGAAAGGTCCTACAAAATAGAAAACTCTGGAGTGCAGAAGTTAAGAAAATAACCTTCATACTGAAAATATATCCTTAAAAAAACAAAACCAAACCTCTGTACAAATGCAGTAGAGCGTACAAATTTTAAAAGATGGTGTTAAGACGTGAGGCATCAAAAGTCTCTTGGAAATGTATGAACGCGGGCCTGCTAAGTTGAGAAGTCTTAAAAAACAAAACCGCGTGAAAACTTCATTTGATAGAAAATATTTCAGTGTGATACTCGATAACATTCTTCACTTGCAGGTTTCCCACGTGTGCCAATCTGACACGTTACTTTCTTCATAAATAATAAAGTGTTCCTTCAGCGGTGTTTGGTGGCTTGCCTTGGCTCCGGTCCCTGGGTCTCAGTAAGTCTGGTAGACGTCGTGGATGGGCACCTGGAGAGCAGCAGGGAAGGCCTGAGGTATGTAGCCGGCGTAGCCCCCGTACACGGCGGCTGCAGCGTTCTTCTGTAGTGTGGCGATGGTGGCGGTGGCTGGAGCAGCGAAGGGCACGTAGCTGGCCCCGTAGATGCCAGCCGCGGGGATTCTCGGAACATTCGGTGCCACGGTGTACACAGGAGTTATTGGACGGCCCTGAGAGACAAACAAAGTCCTCCTGAGCGCAAGAGCAGGTTCATCAGCTCTTCGAACACCAGCCAGCGGGGAGAGGAGAGGTCTAGGTAGGGAGGCTAAGTGGTGAGTGGCCGCTGCAAAACCCATCGCCCACAAGGGGCTTAACGCGTTCAAATGCAGCGTTCAGACCTGTGTCAAAGGGGGAGGCTGTAGGTTGAGCCGGAGTTGTAATATCAGTTAAAGCCACAAAGAGAGGTAAGGAGGGGCTGGGTGTCTACCTAGAGAACACCAATTCTAACATGTCCTGAGACGTCCCCCTTTCTGTTTGAAAGCGCAGTACACCAAGTTTCCACAACAAGCAAGGGGTGGGGTGAGGTGGGGGAGGGAAAGGACGAGACTGTAAGGGTCAACATAGCTCTAAAGAACTAAGCATGGATTTAGTTCTGGATTTAGGGCAAAACCAAAACACCACACAGTGAGCGAATGGAGTGTTTGGCGTGCCTTGTGCTCCACAGGATGGCCTGAAAGAAATGTCTTCTCTTCACCTTACTCTACCTTCAGAATACGTAATCTAGGATATAGGAAATGGAAACTTTCATTTAAAAATCAAGGTCTTCCTAGGTTGTTGGGTGTTTTTATTTTCCTGTTCAGTGCTGTGGATTTGAACCTAGGACACCTCATAAATACGATGCAGCTCCTGTACGCCATAAGTCAGCCAGACTAGCTTTGAACCTGCCCCATAGCCCAGATAAGCCCTGAACTTGCCACCTTCCTGCTTTGGCCTCCCAAGTAACTAGAATCGCAGGCCCTGTGCTACCAAGTATGGTTGCTTCTAGATTTTGGTTTGTTTTTTTGTTCCTGTTGCTTTGGGACAGGCTCTCAGGAAGCAGAGCTGGCCTCCAATGAGCTGTATCTCAAGAGTGACCCTCAAGTCCTCATCTTCATGACTCCACTTCCAAATACTGAGATACCTAGATTCTAATAAAGGATCCAGTTATCTCTAGCACGAAATCTAGATGTCAGACTCACAGAACTAGGTTCAAAAGAACTTCCAATCTGAGAATATTTTTTTCTAACTGTAATAAAAATAGCTATGGTAATGGTGATCACTGAATAACTGAGGGACCCTGGTCTTCCCGGCCAGGTTCTTAAGAGCCTTATTTGTATGATTTTATTTAAGCCATTAAAACCCTTAGTCAAGGCCAGGTAGTGGTGGTACACGCCTTTAAATCCGGCATTCGGAAGGCAGAGGCAGGAAGATTTCTGTGAATTCCAGGCCTGGTCTATACAGTGCATTGGAGGCCAGCCAGGACACCCTGTCTATAGTGACACCCTGTCTCAACTTGGACCTGGAGCTCCAGGCAGTTGTGGGTTCTGGGAACTAAACCCGGGTCCTCTGAAAGAGCATTATTTCTTCCAAACTGTTGAGCCATTTCTCCAGCCCTCTAAACTAAAATCTTATTATACGGCGTAAGACATTTTTAAAAATTATTTTTTAAGAGGTCTTGAGTTGTGGGGTGTGTCTGGGCTACACAGCTAGACCTCATCTCAAAAATGAAAGATAACAAACAAAAAGGCTCTAAGTTGAATAAAAAAAAAAAAAGTCACTTAGTAACAGGCTGGTGTTGGCTTAACCCTTTCTGAATGAAGCAGTCAAGACTTAGGTCAGAGCAGGAAAGGGCAGGTGAATACCTATGGCGATTCAGACGCCTGGGCATTGGAAAATCACGGAGACCCTCGTATACAGCTAGATCCCTAGCCCAGCAAAAACGACATGCAGTCTTCAGGACTCTGGCATATATAGGCATTTCTGATTTTCAAATTGCACGGCCTGGATAATTCTTGTTCACTGAGTTGAAAGACCTGGGGCATTACTACTTATGATTCACTTATTCAGAGAAAAATAGTTTTAAGAGTTTTCCCTCTGCTCTACAGATGCCTTCCCCATGTGCTACACAATGAAGACACTGAGGTGTGGAGAGCAGCCTTCCAAGAAAGAATAGGCTGGCAGTCATATGCCACAGAAAAACGTATTAACGAGAGCCATAGGAGAGGCTACTTGGGTAGATGGAGGAGTGAAAGGCCAAAAAGGTAAGATCAGTTTGGGAAGAGAGGGCATCCGTGGTGTGAATCATAGCTGGAGGAGAGGAGGATTTTCTATATTTACTCCATTCAAAAGAAAAATCTTCTTTATGAATTACATGCCCATAGTAACAGTTGTGTGTGTGTGTGTGTGTGTGTGTGTGTGTGTGTGTGTGTGCTCAAGAGAGAGAGAGAGAGAGTACGGAGTTGGGGGTTGGTTATATATCATAGTGCATGGATGGAGGGAGGTCTGAGCTGGTTCTCTCTTACCATACAGGTCCTGGGGACTGAATCAGGTTTGGAAGTAATCGTCTTTACCTGCTGGGCCATACTAATCCTATGCATATACTTTTAAAAATAATAAACTTCAAAAAAAAAAAAATCTCCATAGAGCTAAACACTTCTTGCTATCTCACATTAAACATTTTTTAAGAGCTAGGAGGACACGGCTGTGGGATGACACAATACCCTAGGATTGATCCCCTGCTCCGAAGGGGGAGGAATCAAATATAAAAACCCTCGAATACCGAGGGGGTCTATGACTGAGAGAGGCTCCATAGGCAAATGCTAGTGCCCCCATCAGGAACTCCGAGGGACCCCATACATAACTCACTGGCCGGGCAAGAGCTCTACCTGGAAAGGTGGCGGTGTGGATACCGAGGGAATGACAGCAGCGGCGGCGGCGGCGGCGGCAGCAGCGGCGGCGGCAGTGGCGGGGTCGGGCTGCACGGCAATGGGGCTGATCATGTGTTCCACTGTGTGGATCTTGCCATCTTCAATTATCTTAGGGGCTGGGGCTGCCTGGAACATGGAGTACTGGGCACCGATGGCAGGGATGGCCACTGCAAGAGAAGCAGGAATAAGACAGGCAAATCATTCACTGTCTCCGAGGGCGCTCCTTCACTTGCTGTTATGTATATATTTTAACGTAGGTTAGCAGTCATGCTCCTCTGCACATTCCCACTGCTCTGCTTGGCTTGGCACCGAGTCGGGATGGAGGTTCTCCACTGAGCACCGTGGGAGGAGCATTTCAAGTGAGGTCTCTGCGTTGACATTTCTCAACGAGTGTGAGCTCTGCTTATTTCTCGCTTGCGTTACTCACCACAGACAAAGCCCTTTGCACTTTCACAATGTTTTAAGAAGTGGGTTGAGGTGAGGTATCATTCTGACAACTTAAGAGAAATGTGAGAACATCCTCTTCACCTTGTATTTCATGTTAGCATTACAATCCAGGCGGAGGTGTGTGTGCGTGTGGGTGGGGCCTGGGAGATGGGGATGAGTGGAAAATGGAAAAGCCTCCAGTGCGCTAATATCCACTTATAGCAGCGGGTGATTGGCTTTTTGCTCTAACCTGCCAACGCAAATAATTTCTGTGAGTAGAGTCCAAAGGAATGGCTTCAAGCAGAGATTCAAACAGACAGAATTACTGAACATCCATGTGCGATATCAAGAGATCAAAAGGAAGAGATGCTAGCCCTGATTTGGAGCTTGTGTGTGTGTGTGTGCATGCTGTGTGTTCTGAAAGGATAAATGGGAACATGAAATGTACACACAGAGAATCCTTTCATGTATGTTTTCTCTCCAACTGTAAGCACATTTCTTCTGCTAAGATGGATGTGCTCAAAGGTAAAGAGACAGAATGGTCATAAGATAAACAGTGGTGTGGCCATTCAGTTAAAAATTAAAAAAAAAAAAATCTAAAATCTTAACCAAATAGCTATACCTTCCTTCCCAATCAAATCTTCCACTAGTCTTGTGCCTAGATCCTTTAGCATTGCCCTGGTATCTCTCAGAAGGACAAAGTCATAACTTCCAATGATCAGAAAGAGATAAGGTCCAGATGCGGCCGCTACCTGAAGCCAAGTGGCGGCTGTACAGAGCGACTGCATTATTCTAGCTACCAGCCTATAGCCCTCTCTACCCCAGGACCCAGGACCTCACACGGCTGAAGACTGTTCAGTGCTGATGGCATTTATAAGGCATCGCAGTGCCAGAAGCCACCGTATAACAGAGATGACAGGGCTATTTCCCCAGTTACCACTGGGTTCCTTCAATGCTTTAATCTTATGTTCCACACATACCAGTTCCTTGCCTCTTATCTGGAAAAAGCAGTGTGCAACCGGCAAAGGAGCAGGTGTCCTTCAAAAGCTCTCCCTCCTACCTTCAGGAAGGCCCAGACACCAGGGAGAGAATCATTTATCCACAGAAAGAATTCTCCATGGGTTTAGGTCAGCGTGTGAAGAAGCTGCAGACAATGGGTCTGCCAAACTCAAACACAGTTAATGAATAGCTCTTATCCTTCCTCACCAGTGGGCCCATATTGTTGGCAAATAAGTGTGGGGCCTGGTGGTAAAACCAAAGTTCAAAGTCCCTGACTCAGTAGATTGATTCTAAATCTACAGATCCAGTTGTTTACAAAAAAAACCTTCACCTCTCAGACAATCACAGGAAAAGTGGCACTCTTTGCTCTGGAAAAGAAGTCTCTACTTTCTCTCAAAACTGGCAATATCTGTGCCCCTCTGCTTTCTGGTGGCTGACGCAGAGCTGGGGGCGTAGTTCAGTGATGGGGTGTTTACCTACATTCACAGGAAAAGACAGGCTCCAGATGACAAAGAACCAGGCAGTTCCACTCCCTTCAACTCTTCCCCTTGACTCTGCCTATGTAGTCACAGACAGGGAAATAGGTGGGTGACCCCTGTCGGAAAAACTCCCTGACAGTCTAAGGTGAACAGGGCCTGAACTAGATTGTTCTCCTAAGAAGACAGTGTGGGGGTGAGGAGTAGGGAGGCTTCTTTTAGCAGAAGGGGAGAAGAATCCATGTGTAGACAGATCTAAGAGCCACGAACACTGAGGTTGTGGTTTAGGGCCAAATGATGCATTTGTCCTAAATGCATTTTTTTTTTTTTTTTTTTTTTTTTTTTTTACTGACCTGTGCCAGGTTTAATGGCAACTGGATTGACAGCAGAGATTTCCAAATTCGGCACAAGTTCATATCCTTTTTCTTGCTGTTTGCCTTTGCCTTCATGATATCGGCTATATATACCACGGCCAGCAGAATATCCTCCGAGGTAAGAACCCCTGGGCCCCGGGGCTCTGTTTCCAGCTGCACCTCGCCCTCGGCCTCTTACGCTGCCTGCTTAATAATAACAACACAAAGAAGGATGAGCCAGCAACAATGATGGTTCAGGGGCCTCCAGGTTACCCTCTGTCTATGTGGCAGGTGGCCACAGCCCTTTAATGGACCACAAAGATGCTTTGGTCTGTTTTGTCACTCTAATCTGCCTGCTTAACGCAAGGCGAGTCCCAAGGATTGTAACTGCAGCTTCAGCTTTGGGGTTTAAAAAAGTCAGATCTGGAAAGGGATATGCCCATCCTCCCTCCTCGTTCAGTGCTTAAGAAAAAAGGCAGAGGCTGCTCATTCAGACCCAGAGAGCAGAACAGTGGGCCCTTGAACCTAGGTTATGTTTGTCTCCTAGTGACATGCTTGGTCTTACACACTCAGTGATTCTCAGGAACCACTGTGCCAACCAACACCTTAAGACTTAATTTCAGAAGTGGTAACCCAGGCTGGCCTCGAACTAGGAATCCTCTTTAGGATGCTGGGATTGCTGGCCTGCGATCACCAAGCCGGGGCTCCGAATCAGATTTTTAACATAATCTCCAAGGCATAGGCAGACCCCTGTTCACCCAAAGGGCTGTTTCTCCCAATACTGCAACAGTGACTGCCAGTCATGGCCCCAAACCTCAACCTAAGTGGGTAGGGCCTAGTGCATTGCAGCCACGATCAATCTGACACCTCTGCCTGGGGGGCTGGACACCCAGGGGCCCTCAAGACAAGAGTCTCCACTAACTTTTTACGAAGTAGTCTCTGTTGGGCCCGATGAGCGCATTGTAGGGGTAGCCATAGTAGGCCAACGTGTAGGGGTCACAGGAGTACACATAGCTGGGCTGCTGGGCAACCACCTCGGCCGAGCCACCACCGCCCTTGGCTGCCTTCTGGTAGCGGGAGTACTGCTCCTTGTCCACAGGCTTGGCCAGGGTGACCTCCAAGCAGGAGCCCTCCAGCTCCGTGCCGTTGAGGTTGTTCATGGCGTGCACGGCATCCTCGCGGCTGGTGAAGTGCACGAAGGCGTAGTCTCGGATCTTCTTGACCCTCTCCACGCAGCCTGGGTTGAACTGGCCGAAGCTCCTCTTGATGGTCTCCTCGGTGGTATCGATCATGAGGTTGCGCACGTAGAGTATCTTCACCGTCTGCATCACGTCCTCGTCCACGTCGATCTCCGGCTCGGCCCAGTCCACGGCGATCTGGTGACCCCACAGCTGGATGCGACCCGGCATGAGCTTGCGACGCGCCATGGCAGCGGCGCGATGGCTCTCATACTCCACGAAGGCGAAGCCTCGGTTTTTCATCTTGTCTGCCGCGCTGGCATACACGATCACGTTGAGCACGCCCTCGGTGACCTTGGCGATCTCCTCCAAGATCTCCCCGCGTTTCTTCATCTTGGGGATGCCACCGATGAAGAGGCGGCAGTTGTCCACGCTGCAGCACACGCCCAGCAGGCGGCCCGGGCGGATCTCATAGTTGTTGAGCTCGCGAACAGCTCGCTTGGCCTCGTGCTTGTGGCAGTACATGACGAAGGCATAGCCCCGGTTCTTCCCATCGAAATCCATCATGAGGCGCAGCTCGTAGATGCGGCCTACCGTCTCAAACACAGGCACCAGCTCATCTTCGTACACGTCCCGTGGGATCTTGCCCACGAAGACCTCACAGCCGCGCTGGGGATGCGGGCCCTCCCAGCCGGGCGGGGGTCCCCCGTACTTGCGCTGCCCATTCTCCTGCACCATGCTGTAGCCGGTGCGCTCCATCAGCGCCAACAGCGCAGCCTCGTTGGGCGCGCCTGCCACGCCCTCCGGCACCTTGGAGGAGGACCCCACGGTTGGATCGCTGTTCATGGTTGTGGTGGAATCTTCTGCGGTCATAATGTCAAAGGCATCCACAGCTGCTGGAAATCTGCAACAAGAGAAAAGAGGGGCGTGAGCAGGGAGCCCCGCAAGCACTCCGCCCTGGCCTCGCCTCCTTTGTTTCCGGTTGGCGATGCAAGCCTGTGAGCGGGTAGGTCGTGGTGGACTGAACTGAGAGGCCAGATGGAGGAGGCCAGCCGCTCGCTGTGGAAAGGCAGGTGGTGTTAAAATAGTCAAGAGAACTATTCAAGAGAATAGCGGTGAGAACCTGGCGTCATCCTACGGGAACAGCTTAAGTCTTGTAGCAGACAATGACTTTTGTTTCATCCCTGCACTATCAGCTTTGATGTCGGGCCCACTACAGCAGGTTGCAAATTTCATGTTTCTTTGGTGTACAGAGGCTTTAAGGCAGACCTTTTTATTGCACTTATGCAAGCTGAACGACGTAATTGTCCCACTGTGGTGTGTGAGCTGCAGGGGATGGAACCTGGGACCTTGTGCATGCTGAGGCAAGGGTTCTACCGCCAAGTGCTGAGTGCAGACACAGAGCAATGATCACATTGGAGGAAACTTCCAGGGCGTGTTTCCCTCCACGATAGATGCTGAGCTCTGCCATGAAGTTTTTGAAAGGAAATGGCATGTCTCAACTGCTTCGGAGTTGGTCTAGTAACTAGTCAGATTTTTACAGTATCCAGGCAAAATCTTGGGGACCATTCACAGATTCGGACTCAGGCTAACTCTGAACGCTGTGAAGCAATGTGTCTATGGGGAAAGACACCAGAGGTTTCAGAGAAATGTTGCCTGCATTCCTAGTTCACCTTTTCAACCTTTGGACACAGTAACTGACATTCATCTCAGCTTATTTGTGGGGAAAGAGGCTGAGAGGTTGTGTAGGTTGCTCCAGTTCACACAGAAACCTAGGCTTTTGGCTCCAGATCCCATCTTCTTTCCTCAGGACTGCTGTGCAACACAGCATTTACTCATATTAGGCAGGGTGTCACTCACTCTGGTCTTGGATGACCTGGAACTCATTCTGTAGCCTGGGCTGGGCTGGATCTCACAGCAATTCTCCTACCCAAGCCTCCCGTGCTGCGATTACAGATATAAGCCACCAAAAAGCCCAACTTGTGGCTGATTTTGTTCTGTTTAAAGACTAGGTCTCCATAAGTAGCTTATTGTGGCCTTGAGCTCAACGACAACTTCCTGCCTCAGCCTCCCAGGTTCTGGGAATATAGGTACGCATCACCACACCTGGATCAATACAGTTCTGGAGGAGATGATAGGAAAGCTGTCATTAGTCACCTGAGACTAATAGAGCTTAAATGGGGGCAAAACCAAAACAAAACAAAACAAAAATTAAAATTTTGCTTTAAATTAAGTAGCCATAGCTGGCAGTGGTCAGAATGGTGTGCACCTTCATTTAGAGAACACAATGTAATAGTGTCATTAAAAGCAGCAAACAATGCTTTTATAATGGAAAGATTCTTAATAACCTTTTCTTTCCTTTCTTCCTTCTGTCCATCTCTTTTCTTTCTCCTTTCTTCCTGTCTATCTTCTCTTGTCTTCTCTCCTTTTTTCTTTCTTTCTCTCTTTCCTTTCTTCCTTCTTTCTTTCCTAAGAGAGGATTGGTTTTTTTTTTTTTGTGTGTGTGTGTGTGTGTAGCCCTGGCTGTTCTGGAACTCTCTCTGTAGACCAGGCTGACCTGAAACTCAAAGATCCACCTGCCTCTGCCTCCCAAGTGCTGGGATTAAAGGCTCATGCCACCACTGCCTAGCATCTGAATTACCTTAAAAAAAAAAAAAAAAGAAAAAAAAAAGAAATCTACGTCATTATTGGACAAATGAAGTCTATAGAAAATAAAGAAATGGGTTGGAGAGATGGTTTAGCAGTTAAAAGCACTTGACTGCTCCTCTAAAGGATTCAGATTTGATTCTCAGTACTCATATGATAGCTCACAACTGTCTGTAACTCCAGTTCTAGAAAATCCAAAACCTTTTTTGGGCCTCCTTCGGCACTAGGCAGGAATATGGTGAAGATATACATACATGCAGGCAAAATACCCATACACATAAAATAACAACAAAAAGGAAAAAGCTAAGTGCCCACCTAACAATAGAGCTTTCTCCACCTTTTTTCTGTGTTGTGGGATAGTGTCTGGGGCATGGCTTCTTCTTCTTTGCAGCTTCATATTTTAGAAACATCCTAACACATTCTCACTCTTTGTAAAAATGTCAGTTTAAGGATGACCTAAGGCTTCATCATTTAACTGGAACCAGTAACACAGTTTACTTTCAAAATGTAGAATTATGAGTTGTTCATGAGACTACTAAGGAAAAATTTTCAAGAACTGTTAAGGTGTCTGAGTAGTACAGGTCATTAGATAGTGCTTGCCTAGTGGGTGTGAGAGGCCCTAGCTTCAATACCCAGTATCACAAATAAAAGAAAAAGAAAAGGGAAAGCTAAGTATGGTAAGCTAACACATCTGTAGTTCCAGGCCTCATGGGGCAGAGGCAAGAGGATTGTGGGTTTTGAGGTCAGCATCCAGAATGAGAGCTTGTCTCAAAAAGAAAAAAAAAAAAAAAAAAATCAAATCTATACTGACACACAAAACAGAGATGTGGATTTGCTGCTCAGCTCAAGCATCCTCTCTGGCTCATTTGCTGTAGGAGGGCTGTAAGCAGGGTGTTCTGAGTTAGAGGCTGCCCCCGTTAGGCAGACAGCATGGTTGTCGGAGTCCTAACTCTTCCTAATTGTATGACTTAGAAACAGGACACTTAGCCATTATATGAATCAGTTTTCCTACCTGCAGATGGGAGTCCTAATGGTAGTATTAATTTTAGCACAACAAGTGAGTTAATAAATACAAGATACTATGTTGGTTTGAGTGAGAAATGTCCCCAGTTAGTGTTTGGGGCAGCCTAGGAGGTATGGCCTTGCTGGAGGAAGTGTGTCACTTCCTCCAGGGAAGGGCTTGGAGAGCTTAAGGCCTCACCCTACTTCCATTCCCCTCTTTGCTTAGTGCATGTGGTTCAAGATATGAGCTATCAGCTAGCTGCTACAGCCTCCTAGGCTGCTGCCTGCTGCCACACTGTTCCAGCCACCATGGATTCTAAGCCTCTCTTTTTGGAAGCCCAAAAAAGTTTTGTTTTGTTTTGTTTTGTGTTGGTAATATTATCTTATCACAGGAACAATAAAGTTACAGATAAGAACAGTCCCACCTGAGTCCAGGCTGCATTTGAACTCCTGTTCCTCCTGCCTCAGTCTCCCCAGTGTGCTGAGATCACACAGCACCACCAGGCCCAGCTTGAAAAAGGAACTTTTGCCTAGAACACTGCAGTAGCTCAAGAAATGCAATATTATCTTTGATTCAAATTGTGGTGAACACTCAGGCCAATTATTTGAATTTTAGAATGATTTTAACGACACATTTTTCTCCATTTAAAAAAAAAAATATCCTTGGGGGACTGGGTAAGATGGTTTGGTGAGTAAGGCAGTTGCCACCAAGCCTGACAACTTTGGGACTCATATAGTGGAGAAGACCAAATCCTGAAAGTTGTCCTCTGACTTCTACACACAAGCTCCGCTCCCCTACCTACACAAATAAAAGATTTTAAAAAATTTATTTTTTGACATGGAGGATGCCAAATACACATATAAACATATGCGCAATCAAGGGAGAGTCTATGTGTTAGTACAATACAGAAAATATGTCACTGTTGGATGGTTACAGGAATAGAACTTACGCCTTAGCACAGACATACCCTAAAAAAAAAAAAAGTGAGCTGTTTCAGAGAGGCAAAACTGAAAACAAAACAAAAACGAAAGACAACAAAACCTGGATTTTGATAGAAGCCCTTAAAAAATGACATACCTTTAAAAATATGTTCACTGCATTCTTTATGTATGTATGTATGTAAGTGCCTGTGTGTATGTGCATGTGGAGGTCAGATCCCCTGGGGCTTGAGTGACAGGAGGTTGTGAGACACCAGATGTGTGTGCTGTGAATTGAACTTGTATCTTCTACAAGAGCAGCAAGCTCCCCTAATCCCTGAGCCATTCCTCCAGCTTCCCAAATGTTAGACCTTTCAAAATGTTGTACTTGCTTTTAATGCACAAGGTCTTGGGTCTGATCCTCAGCATTGCAAATGACAGATAGATAGATAGATAGATAGATAGATAGATAGATAGATGATAGATAAATGAGATAGATAGACAGGTGATAGATGCTGGGTCAGTTTAGCACACTTATGAAAATCTTAGTCTACAAGTTCCATTCTCCTAATCCTCATGCCACAGTTAGATCAATTATATAAAATATTGATTCATAAATGTGAGGCCAAAAGTTTAGACATAATGAAAGCTAATCATTACTTAATGCCTTAAAAAGGGCTGCTATGGGGCTAACATGCCTTTTCTCCCCAACCCTATAGCAGATGGGATTTGGTTCCATTCTACGCTTTAGATGTCCTGTGCCAGCAGCAGGTAGGTCTTGTCCTTGAGGCCCTCACCTCCCAGCTATGCTCAGACACAGGGAAGCTGAAGTCTACGGTTCTCTGCACTTGTGCTGACTGACCAGGAACGGCTTGAAAGGAGCCAGGCTTTAATTCTTAACCATTTGTTTCTGATAAGGTCACAGTCCTCGAGGTCAATGCCCAGCCACCTCAGAATCTTGCTTTTAAAAATTAGTCATGAATTTGAGGGAGGGCACGGAGGGCTGGGTACATGGGAGGGCTTAAAAGAAGAAAAGGAAAGTGGGGGAAACGGCATAATTATATTTTAATTAAAAAATAAATAAAAAATAGCCTTGGTGGGGGAGGGGGGAAAGAAAAAAATTAGCCCCAGGGAGCTGGAAAGATGGTCCAGTGGCTGAGAGTGCCCGCTGCCCAGTCATGCGAGCTGGAGTTCACATCCAAACAAGCACACAACAAGCTGGGTGCCCTGTAAACATTTGTAACTCCAGCTCCAAGGAAGCCCATGCCTACTTCTGGTGTCTTCACCTATATGTGTATATCTACTCACACACACACAGACACATTCACACAAACACAC